CGCAGGCACTGGTAGCTTCCTCTAAGCCAAACCAGCCAGTCCTGACAATTTGTAACCTTGCTCTCTGGGGCACCAAGAGGAACCAAACTCATCCTACTGAAGACCCAACAGGGGATGAGGGTAGACGACCATCAACGGTTTCATGGTACATCTGCAGTCTGATGACAGAAAGCAAATGTATTCTGGTTACTGTTGTTATTTTGGTTTCAATACTATTTTAAAATATCTCATGAATGTAGTGTTCACTAGCACATCTTTTCACCATAAAATCAACTATGAGCCCATGGTAACACAACTGGAAAGTAACAAGAGGATATGTGGACGCTCCATCATCATTCATGTGGTGCGGGCCAATCCTGTATTTCCGAAAAACTTGGACAACCATCGCCTTCAAGAGCCACCCAGGCCCCCGCACATACGAGCACTCCCCACCACCACTCAGCGGCACAAAACAGCCATAGGCCAAGTTGTCTGTATGAAGTATATCTTTTTTCTTTTAATATTTTTCGTCTTGTTTTGATAGATAACGCATACAAAGGGTAACAACATGGAAAGAGTACAAAAGGGAAAGGAAGTCTCCTTCCAACGGCGCGGTTCTCCTCCCCAGAGCAGTTTCCTGTGTGTTCCCTTGCAGAGATTCTCTGTATGTTTACAAGCGTGTGTGTTTATTCGTCTCAGGTAGAGATTAGAGGAATGTAGATGGGGTCTTCCCAGCTGCCCCAGGCTGGGTTCAAGGGTGAAGTTCGTGGGAAGGGATCTGAGGAGGAAGGGGGCCCTGGGCTTCGACCGTCAGCTTAAAGCTACCCTGGACGAGTCCTTTCGGCCGGCCCTGGGCTCTCTCCCCTCCTCTCGGGGATTTCCGACTGTGATAGCGCACCTCCCCGCTTAAGGCTTTTCAAAGATCCCTTCAAGGCCATCGGTTAGCGCCGAAAGAGAAGCGTCTACGACACCACCACCCCCGACCCAGAATAGGTACCCGGCAGCCCACCGGGGTTCCCTAAGCACTAGATACGGCTTTAACGCCTTCCCCGCCGCCAGGAGTCCCGTGCGTCGTACTGAGACGGCCGAAACTCTGGGTTCGCCTCCCTGCTCGGGCCTGTAACTGGAAGCAGCAGCAGCATTAGCTCCCCCTCGCCCCTACACTGGCCAGGGCTGTCCTCGGTTCCCGCAGTGGGTGTGTCCGGGTGGCGGAGAAAGGGTTAAATCGGAGCTAGCCTGATCTGGCGGCGGGGAGTCACCTGTAGCCACGGTTGGTAGCCCGCGGAGGGATGCGGTAGACGTGGACGTCAGGCTTGACACACAGCACCGACTCGTACCCGCTCTCCTCCATCGCGACGCCTGGAGCCCACCGGACTTCCGGCTCCTTCCACCGTTTCTCCGTTCTACAGCCGGAAGCGGTGCGACTCTGTGACTAGGTTGCCTAGAGCGGCAGCTAGGGGGCCTCAGCACCGCCTCGTTTGTGCGCCCTCTGCTAGAGGCCCGGCTCAAGACCCGCGGCGGGCCACCTCCGGAGGCTTCCCTCTCCCACCATACACCCTCTGACGCAGAGAAAGCGCCCGGGCCCCCCGCCATGTACGGACCCCTCCATGACCCGTGGTCTGGGTGTGGGTCATCCCCATCGCTTCAGTTCTTAGGCCTGGGACCCAGTTGGCCTAGAGGCAAAACTGTAGCCCACCCTTCAGCATCTGTCCTCCAGCCTTTGCCTCCACTCCACGCTGGCCTGAATGTGCTTCCCTCTCCTGACTGTAAGGTTCAGCTGTCACCTGATCCAGCAAACTAAGCGCCCTTACCCTACCGCCCTACATGCTTCACCTATGGGAACCCACCTATGTGCTCAGGGCCCCGTGTGGCCACACCTCAACAACGAGTTGTAGTCAAAGAAGTAAAGTTTAGTAACGCAAGTAATTTAAGAAGAATCCAGCCCTGGCGTAGTGGCTCACGCCTGTAATCCCAGCACTTTGGGAGGCTGAGGCCGGTGGATCACTTGAGGTGAGGAGTTCGAGACCAGCCTAGCCAACATGGTGAAACCCCGTCTTTACTGAAAATACAAAAATTAGTCGGGCTTGGTGGCTTATGTCTGTAGTCCCAGCTACTCCGGAGGCTGAGGCACTAGAATGGCTTTAACCCGGGATGCAGAGATTGTGGTGAGCTGAAATTGTGCCACTGAACCTCAGCCTGGCTGACAAAGCAGGATTCTGTTTCAAAAAACAAAAAAAAAATATAAAAAGAAGAAGAAGAATTCCAGTCTTTTTGATGGAGTCTCCCTCTGTCACCCAGGCTGGAGGGCAGTGGTGTGATCTTGGCTTGTTGCAACCTCTGCCTGCTGAGTTCCAGCGATTCTCCTGCCTCAGCCTCCTGAGTAGCTGGAACTAAAGGCACATGCCACTGTGCCCGCCTAATTTTTTATTTTTATTTTTTAATAGAGTCGGGGTTTCATCATATTGGCCAGGCTGGTCTCAAACTCCTGACCTCATGATCCACCCACCTCAGCCTCCCAAAGTTCTGGGATTACAGGCATGAGCCACTGCACCCAGCTAAGAATTCCAGTTTTGACTTCAATTTCTCCCAGAATATTCTGGGAGATACAATGGCTACCATAGCAAATTCTCAAAATCCCTCCTTCCCTACCATTCTCTCATTCATTATGTGAGCTGAGTGCCTGCAATGTGCCAGTCCCTATGTGGGACACAGCTGATCCCAAATCTCTGACTCACTGAAGACCCCAAACTTTCCGCACCCCTTCTTTCCTTTTCTCTCACTCTATTCCCTTCTACTTTTTACTCTTTTTTTTCTTTTCCAGATGAAGTCTCACTATGTTGCCCAGGCTGGAGTGCAGTGGCACGATCTCAGCTCACTGCAACCTCTGCCTCCCTGGTTCAAGCGATTCTCCTACCTCAGCCTCCCAAGTGGCTGGGATTACAGGCGCCCGCCACCACACCCGGCTAACTTTTGTATTTTTTTGGTAGAGACAGGGATTTCACCAGGTTAGCCAGGCTGTTCTCAAACTCCTGACCTCAAGTGATCCGCCCGCTTTGGCCTCCCAAAGTGCTGGAATTACAGGCGTGAGCCACCGTGCCTGGCCATTTCTACTCATTTTTTATAAGCTTTTTATTATAGGATTGATCTAACCACTTATATTTTTATTGTAAAATATACATAACATAAAATTTACCATTTTAAGAGTGCAATGCTGTGAAATTAAGTACATTCACAATATTGTGCAACTATACCATGCTTTCCAGAACTTTTCATCATCCCAAACAGAAACACCACACCTATTAAGCAATAACCCCATTCCCTCCTGCCCCATCCCTTGGTAACCTCTGTTCTGCTTTCTATCTATATGAATTTGCCCATTTTAGATACCTCTTACAAGTGGAATCATGCAATATTAGGCTTTTGTGTCTCTCTCTTTTTTTTTTTTTTTTTTGAGACGGAGTTTCGCTCTTGTTACCCAGGCTGGAGTGCAATGGCACGATCTCGGCTCACCGCAACCTCCACCTCCTGGGTTCAGGCAATTCTCCTGCCTCAGTCTCCTGAGTAGCTGGGATTATAGGCACGCGCCACCATGCCCAGCTAATTTTTTGTATTTTTAGTAGAGACGGGGTTTCACCATGTTGACCAGGATGGTCTCGATCTCTTGACCTCGTGATCCACCCGCCTCAGCCTCCCAAAGTGTTGGGATTACAGGCTTGAGCCACTGCACCTGGCCGGCTTTTGTGTCTCTTATTTCACTCAGGATCAAGTTTTCAAGGTTCACTCATGTTGTAGCATGGATTAGAATTTCATTCCTTTTCATGGGTGATTAATATCCCACTGCATGTATGTATGATATTTTGTTCATTCATCTGTCAACAATTGGGTTGTTATCACCTTTTGGTACTGGGAATCCGGCTGCTGTGAGCATCGGTGTTCAAACACTTGTTCGAGTCCTTGTTTTCCATTTTCTTGAGCGGATACGTGCACGTGAAACTGCTGAGTTACACAATAATGCTACGTTTAGCGGTTTGGTTTCGTTTTGTTTGAAACGGCATCTCACTCTGTTGCCCAGGCTGGAGTGCATTGGCGTGATCACGGCTCACTGTAGCCTCTACCTCCCAGGCTCAAGTGATCCTCCCGACTCAGTCTCCCAAGCAGCTGGAACTACAGGTGTGAACTTCCATGTCCAGCCTTGTTCGGCTTTTTGAGGAGCCTCCAAACTGTCTTCCACAGCAGCAGCAGCATTTTACATTCACAGGGGTTTCAATTTCTTCACATTTTTGTGAATATTCATCATTTTCCTTTTGTTCTTTCTTTTTGTTAAAGACAGGGTCTCTGTCTCCCCACACTGGAGTGCAATGATGCAATCATCGCTCACTGCAGCCTCAAACTCCTGTGTTCAAGAGACCCTCCTGCCTCAACCTTTTGAGTAGCTGGGCCTATAGGCACACACTACCCTACCCTGCTAATTTTGTTACTTTTTGTAGAGACAGGGGTCTTTCTATGTTGCCCAGGCTGGTCTTGAATTCCTGTCTTCAAGAGATCCTGCTGCCTCAGCTTCCAAAGTGCTAGGATTACAGGCATGGGCCACCACACCTGGCTGCCTTTTTTTTTTTTTTTTTTTTTGAGACTAAGTCTCATTTTACTGCCCAGGCTGGAGTGTAATGGCTCAATCTCGGCTCACGGTAACCTCTGCCTCCCGGGTTCAAGTGATTCTCCTGCCTCAGCCTCCCAAATAGCTGGGACTACTGGCACGTGCCATTACACACAGATAATTTTTGTATTTTAGTAGAGACATAGTTTCACCATGTTGGCCAGGATGGTCTTGATCTCCTGATCTCGTAATCCACCCACCTCGGCCTCCCAAAGTGTTGGGATTACAGGCGTGAGCCATGTGCCCTGACTTTTTTTTTTTTTTTTTTTTTTTTTTTTAGTCATAGCCTAAAAAAAAGTTCACTCTCATTGCCTAAGGTGGAGTGCAATGGCACCATCTCAGCTTACTGCGACCTCTGCCTTCGGGTGTCAAATGATTCTCCTGCCTCAGCCTTCTGAGTAGCTGGGATTACAGGTGCCCACCACCATGCCCAACTATTTTTTTTTGTTTTGAGATGGAGTCTCACTCAGCTGCCCAGGCTGGAGTGCAGTGGCACAATCTCAGCTCATTGCAAACTCTGCCTCCTGGGTTCAAGTGATTCTCCTGCCTCAGCATCCTGAGTAGCTGGGATTACAGGGATGAGCCACCATGCCTAGCTAATTTTGTATTTTTAGTAGTGACAGGGTTTCATCATCTTGGTCAGGCTGGTCTCGAACTCCTGACCTCAGGAGATCCACCAGCTTCAACCTCCCAAAGTGCTGGGATTACAGGTGTGAACCACCACACCTCACCATTCAGAGCACTTTCACTTCTGTTCAGTCTAACAAAGACAGGCATCAAGCACATACCCTATGCAAGGTGCTGAGTGCTGAGGTCACTGAGATTCAGCCAATACAGCTCCTACCATTCTGGAGCTCACAGACTGGAGGAGACACAGAGAAAAGCAGTCATTGGCAATGCAGAATGAAAGGTACTATAATGAAGCAAATTCACAGGAAGCTGTGGGAGCAAGGAGAAGAAACCCACACACTCTGGGGACAGTCAGGGAAGGCTCTCTGGGAGAGAGTTCCCTGGCACAATAACCACTGTGAGGTTGGCAAGGCAACGATTGTTATCCTCATTGTGTGATGGGGGCCACTGAACCAGTGACAAGCTGGGGGAAATGACACTGTTGGGCAGTTGGAAGTCAGACAGCCCTTTGCCTTATTCTCAAACTCTAACCATATGGCTGGACACTACTGAAATGCATTCCTAAACCTCTGCTGCTGAGAATAATTGGACCTACCGTCTATTCCCAGTGTAACTACCTGTATACCAAACAAATCCAATTCAAGCCAACAGGCAAAGTATAGGCTCAGACAGAATCCATCCTGTGTGTGAGGTGGTATGCAAGGGTGGAAAACCTCACTGTGACTCATCCAGCTGATTTCTGGTAGGTCCAGAGCCCAGGTGGGGATGTGATGTGAGCAAGCTTTCCTTGACAGCCTCCAGACACATATATGATAGGTCACTTATCTTTCTCTGCTGTATTTTCCTGCCATCATAGATATTTCCAAGAGAAATTCTCCCATTTTTCAGATGAGGAAACCGCTTATAAAAGGGGCACTCAATACCCAAAGAATCTTGAAAAAGAAAAAGTTGGAGGACTCACACTTCCTGATTTCAAAAGTTTATATTTATTTATTTTTCCATAGGTTATTGGGGTATAAGCGGTATTTGGTTACATGAATAAGTTTTTGGTAAGTTGTTGTGGTTTTTTTGTTTGTTACATGAGTAAGTTTTTGTTATTTTGGTTCCATGAGTAAGTTTTTTGTTTTTGTTTTTGTTTGATATGGAGTCTTGCTCTGTTGCCCAAGCTGGCACGCAGTGGCGCGATCTCTGCTCACCGCAACCTCCACCTCCTGGGTTCAAGTGATTCTCCTGCCTCAGCCTTCCAAATAGCTGGGATTACAGGTATGCACCACCATGCCTAGCTAATTTTTGTATTCTTAGTAGAAATGGGGTTTCATCATGTTAGCCAGGCTGGTCTCAAACTCCTGACCTCAAATGATCTGCCCACCTTGGCCTCCAAAAGTGTTGGGATTACAGGCGTGAGCCACCTTGCCTAGCATGAGTAAGTTCTTTAGCGGTGATTTGTAAGATTTTAGTGCACCCTTAACCAAGCACTATACACTGCACCCTCTTTGTAGTATTTCTTTTTCTTTTTCTGAGACAGAGTCTCGGCTTGTCACCCAGGCTGGAGTGCAATGGTACTTTAGTAGAGACAGGGTTTCACCATGTTGGCCAGGCTGGTCTCGAACCCCTGACCTCGTGATCCACCTGCCTTGGCTTCCCAAAGTTCTGGGATTACAGGTATGAGCCATCACGCCCAGTCATATTTGTAGTTTTTATCCCTCACCCCCCCCGAACCTGATTTCTTTTTTTTTTTTTTGACATGGAGCCTTGCTCTGTTACCCAGGCTGTCAGTGATGCAATCTCAGCTCACTGCAACCTCCGCCTCCCAGATTCAAGTGGTTCTTCTGCCTCAGCCTCCTGAGTAGCTGAGATTGCAGGTGGGTGCCACCACACCTGGCTAATTTTTTGTATCTTTAGTAGAGACAGGGTTTCAATATGTTGTCCAGGCTGGTCTTGAACTCCTGAGCTCAGGCAATCTGCCCACCTCAGCCTCCCAAAGTGCTGGGATTGCAGGCGTGAGCCACCACACCTGGCTGATAAATGAGGCTTTCACAAAAATTTAAAACTTTTGTGCTTCAAAAGACAAATAAGTGAAAATATAATCCACACAATGGGAGAAAAAGTTGTAAATCATATATATAAGGAACATGTATCTAGAATTTATAAAGAACATTTACCATGCAGTAATAAGAAGACAACCCAATATAAATGGACAAAGGCAGTCTGGGTGCTGTGACTCATGCCTGTAATCCCAGCACTTTGAGAGACTGAGGTGGAAGGATCACCTGAGCCCAGGAGGTCAAGGCTACAGTAAGCCATGTTCATGCCACTGCAGTCCAGCCTGTGGACAGAGTAAGATTCTGCCTGAAAAAAAAAAAAAAAAAAAGATCCAGACATAGTGGCTCACACCTGTAATCCCAGCACTTGAGGAGGCTGAGCTGGGCAGATCACCTGAGGTCAGGAGTTCGAGACCAACCCAGCCAACATGGCCAAACCACGTCTCTACAGTTTTGTATCTAAAAATACAAACATTAGCTAGGCATGGTGTGTGTGCCTGTAATCCCAGCTACTAGGGAGGCTGAGGCAGGAGAATCGCTTAAACACAGAAGGCTGAGGTTGCAGTGAGCTGGAACTGGGCCACTGCACTCCAGCCTGGGTGACAGAGCAAGACTCTGACTAAAAAAATATGGACAAAGGCTCTGAATAGACATTTTTCCAAGAAGATAAGCACACGGAGCTGTTCAGCATTATCAGCCATTAGGGAAATGCTAATCAAAACCAGAATAAGATAGCACTCTATACACACACCCACTAGGATAGCTATAATTAAAAAAGATAAGTAAGAGGCTGGGAGTGGTGGCTTACTCCTATAATCCCAGCACTTTGGGAGGCCGAGGCGGGTGGATCACGAGGTCAAGAGATCGAGACCCTCCTGGTCAACATGGTGAAACCCTGTCTCTACTAAAAATACAAAAATTAGCTGGGCATGGTGGTGCGTGCCTGTAGTCCCAGCTACTCAGGAGGCTGAGGCAGGAGAATTGCTTGAACCCAGAAGGCGGAGGTTGCGGTGAGCCGAGATCGTGCCATTGCACTCCAGTCTGGGTAACAACAGCAAAACTCCATCTCAAAAAAAAAAAAAAAAAAGAAAAAAAGATAAGTAAGGCCAGGTACAGTGGCTCACACCTGTAATCCCAACACACTAGGAGGCTAAGGCGGGAGGATCCCTTGAGCCCAGGAGTTCAAGATCAGCCTGGACAAAATATTTTGTAGACTCCCATCTACAAAATATTTAAAAATCAGCCAGGTATGGTGGTGTGCACCTGTAGTCCCAGCTACTCAGGTAGCTAAGGTGAGAGGATCCTTTGAACCCCAGAGGTGGAGGTTGCAGTGAGCTATGATCATACCACTGAAGTCCATCCTGGGAGATAGAGCAAGACCCTGTCTCAAAACAAAACAAAAAGATAATAACAAGTGTTGGAGAGGATGCAGAAAAATTGGAACATATATATGCAGCTGGTAAGAAGGTAAATTACTGGCAATTACTCAAAAGCTAAAAATAGAGTTTTCATATGACTCAGCAGTTCCACTTCTAGATACATATCCAAGAGAAATGCAAATGTTATGTTCATATAAAAACTTGGACATGAGGCCAGGCACAGTGGCTCATGCCTGTAATCCCAGCCCTTTGGGAGGCCAAAGTGGGTGGATCACCTGAGGTCAGGAGTTCAAGACCAGCCTGGCCAACATGGTGAAACCCCATCTCTACTAAAAATACAAACAAACAAACAAAAATTTAGCTAAGCATGGTCGGGGGGTGCCTGTAATCCCAGCTACCTGGGAGGCTGAAGCAGGAGAATTGCTTGAACAACACAAAAAACCTTGTAGATGAATGTTCATAGCAACATTATTCATAATAGCTAAAATGTGGAAACAGGCCAGGCATGGTGGCTCACACCTTTAATCCCAGCACTTTGGGAGTCCACAGCAGGAGGATTGCTTGAGCTCAGGAGTTTGAGCAGCCTGGGCAAACCCAATGAGACCTTGTCCTACTTAATTTTTTTTTTTCTTTTTTTAGACAGAGTCTTGCTCTGTTGCCCAGGCTGGAGGGTGATGGTGTGATCTCAGCTCACTGCAACCTCTGCCCCCTGGGTTCAAATGATTATCCTGCCTCAGCCTCCTGAGTAGCTGGGATTACAGGTGTATGGCCACCACGCACGGCTAATTTTTGTATTTTTAATAGAGATGGGGTTTGGCCATGTTGACCAGGCTGGTCTTAAATGCCCACCTTGGCCTCCCAAAGTGCTGGGATTACAGGTGTGAGCCACCATGCCCGGCCATTAAAATTTTTTTAATTTAAAAAATTTTACAAATTGTAAGACGACCCAGGCATGGTGGCACACATCCGTAGTCCCAGCAGCCACTCAGAGGCTGAGATGAGAGGATCTCTTGAGACCTTAAGTTTGAGGCTGTAGGAAGCTATGATCACACTGCTGCACTCCAGCCTGAGTGACAGAGCAAAACCCTGTCTCAAAAACAAAAAAAAAAAGGCCGGGCATGGTGGCTTATGCCTGTAATCCCAGCCCTTTGGGAGGCCAAGGTGGGTGGATCTCGAGGTCAGGAGATCGAGACCATCCTGGCCAACATGGTGAAACTCTGTCTCTACTAAAAATACAAAAAATTAGCTGGGCGTGGTGGCACATGCCTGTAATCCCAGCTACTTGGGAGGCTGAGACAGAAAAATTGCTTGAACCCAGGAGGCAGAGGTTGTGGTGAGCTGAGAATGCGCCATTGCACTCCAGCCTGGGCAACAACAGTGAAACTCCGTCTCAAAAAAAAAAAAAAAAAAAAAAAAAAAAACACCAAATTTTCTATCTACTGATGAATGGATAAACAAATGGGGTATATCCATACAGTGGAATATTACTTAGCCATAAAAAGGAATGAAATTCTGATATGTGCTACAACATGGACGAACCTTGTAAGCATGATGTTAAATCAAAGAAGCTAGTCACCAAGGACCACATGTTGTATGATTCCATTTATATGGAATTTCCAGAATAGACAAATCCACTACGATAGAAAGCAGATTAGTGGTTACCTAGGGCTGGGTTTGGGGTGGGAAGACTGGGGATAATGGCCAAGGGGTGTGTAGTTTCTTTTTCGAGTGATAAAAATGTTCTTGAATTAGAGTGATGGTTGCACAACTCTGAATATCCTAAAAGCCATTGAATTGTACACTTTAAATGGGTGAATTGTCTGGTATGTGAGCTAGATTTCAATAAGTTGTTAACTATAAAGGGTCCCAAGTGGTCTGAAAGGGGGACACAGTTGATATTTGTCAACTTCTCTCCCAGATCTGCCCTTGGAGTGCAAGCACCTCTGCTAGGATTGAAGCTTCCCTTCCTGTCTAGATTCTCATAGTTGGCAAGCTCCAGATGTGGATAGATGGGGGCTGGAGCCCCCTGGAACTTTGGCCCCCTGAAAACTTCAGCTTGTGGCATACTGGGGCCTGGGAATTCCAAGGCTGACCCTGCACATTCTGAAGCGAAGACATGGACAATATGTGGGGGGAGATATTATTCCCTAGGTGGTGCATCCACCCCCGAGACAGGAAGACTCAGAGAAAGCAGGAATGGTTAGGGGAACCCTAATGGGAAAGAGGTTGGGGAGGAGCAAGAAACTCCAAGGAAAGAGAGAAGGACTTGACCACAGCCCTGACTTTTCTGCTCCAAGTGAGAGCCTGGTCCTTTGTGAGGCCAGAGCTGCACCTGGGGTGGGAGGTCACCCCACCAAACCAGCCAAGCTCTGCTTTGCGTGTTGGGGTACAGCTTTCACTACAGGAAGGACCTGGAGGGTAGGAAGAGGAAGTGGGGACTTGGGTCAGCAGCTATGAAGTGCCTCCTCTGTGTCCCTGGTAAACTGTGGGAACCGTCAGGACACCCAGTGTATTCCCAAGGCCTGATGTTGTCCCTAGCACAAGTACGTGTCATTAAACAGCTGTTGATTGCATGAGGAAATGAATGGATAACTTAAGCTTCTTTGTAGGCAAAATGATATGAATGAGATGAGCCATTGCGGGAGTCAGACAGGCCCGAGTTTGCCTCCAGTTCCTCTGCAGACTGGCTTTGTGGTATCGGACAAGACATTGCTCTGAGCCCTAATTTCCCTATTTTAAAACAGGGCTGAACCCCCTGATCTCACAGGGCTATTGGGAGAATACTGTTCACAAAGGTTTCCAGCACATAGAAGGTTCCTCCATGGATGCTGGCTGGCCTGCCATGATTTAAAGTGGAAGAAGCACCATCAAGATACTCAAGGTCATACGGTCTTACTATGGGAGGATGGGACGTCGGGGTTAGGATTTAATCCTGGGAAGTAGTTAACAGTGAAAGTGGGTCATGATGTATCCATAGAAATGGCACTGATGTTGCCTTAAAGGAATTCAGTGGAAAGAGGGCTGAGAGGGTTGGAAACTTGGAGAAGAAGGGGAGCTTGAAGGATGCGTTGGGCTATTGGAAAGATAGAAAAATGGGACGTGGGCACAGAGGCTGGGGTCTACAAGACTGGCAACCCAGGAGCCTGCCTAGATTAGAAAAGAAAGTTTGTGTAGGGGGTGGTGGCACAGCTGAATAAGAGGCTGGATGAAAGAGGTGGAGGAGAGACTGTAAAAAAGGCTTTAGAAATGGCCGGGCATGGTGACTCATGCCGGTAATTCCAGCACTTTGGGAGGCCAAGGCGGGTGGATCACTTGAGGTCTGTACTAAAAATACAAAAACTAGCCTGGTGTGGTGGTGAGCACCTATAATCCCAGCTACTATGGAGGCTGAGGCAGGAGAATCGCTTGAACCTGGGAGGCAAAGGTTGCAGTGAGCCAAGATTGCACCACTGCACTCCAGCCTGGGCAACAGAGTGAGACTCTGTCTCAAAACAAAAAAAAGAAAGAAAAAAGAGGCCAGGTGCAGTGGCTCACACCTATAATCCCATCACTTTGGGAGGCCAAGGCAGGCAGATCCTGAGGTCAGGAGTTTGAGACCAGCCTGGCCAACATGGTGAAACTCCATCTCTACTAAAAATGCAAAATTAGCAGGGCATGGTGGCACATGCCTGTAATCCCAGCTACTCGGGCGACTGAGGCAGGAGAATTGCTTGGACCTTAGAGGCAGAAGTTGCAGTGAGCTGAGATCATGCCACTGCACTCCAGCCTGGAGGATAGAGCAACACCCTATCTCAAAAAAAAAAAAAAAAGACAAAGACAAAGAAAGGATGTGTCCAGGGCATAGTGTGGGTGCTCTGGTGAACTGCAGATTGCCGCTGGAGACCTTGGGGACCTGAGGCAGATGGACGGATGTTGCTAATTCCTGTTCCTTAGCCCTGTCTAAGAACATGAAGTTTTCCTCTACAGCAGCAGCAGCAGCAGCTGTGACATTTTTGCACCCCCTTAAAAGGCACATTAGTATTTTAAAGGCTCTGAGGAGTAGTGCAGGAAAGAGCCTGTAGCATTTTGCTTCTCCCAGCACTTCCCAAATGCACTTAGCCTTGGAACCCCATGGGGCATCTCAAGGGACCGGTATGCCAAAGAACACCGTTTAGCAAATGTCGCAGTAGGGGAAAGTGCCTGGGTTTTGGGATTCAACAGGCCATAGTTCAAGTCCCTGTCTGTGACCTAGTAGGTGCTGAGCAAGTCACTGTGCCTTCCAGAGCCCCTTTTCCTCAGGGTCATTGTGAGAATTAGGAAAAGTGTGTGGGTAAATGGCATGTGGCCAGCTCTCTGGTTTTGCTGCATCGCTCTCCTTGCCAGGTCTGGCCCCGCCTCTTCCCTCAAGCCAGGCTTTCTACATTATAGGCTCCACATGGGCTCCTGAAGCAGTAGCTAGGTGATGGGCATGGTGGGATACTTGATTGGATTTCTCCTGTAGGAACACGGTAGCTGATGCCCCTCACTTGGCACCTGTGTTGGCCCTGGCATCATGGACAACAGAAAAACTCAGATGTACACAGAAGGTAGAACCGAGGCTCCAGGGACCCAGCCAAGTCCTTGCCTGAGAATCACCATAAAGAGGGCTGGTGTTGAGCCCACCACACAAGGAGTCAGCCGGGTAGGGACCTGTACCCCATGTTCTGATCCATCCACTCCTAGCTGGCACCTTTCCCCTCCCCTGCCCAGGCTTCCTCCCTAACTGCTTTAATTAAGACTCTCTGTTAAAATGGACACAAAACCCAGTTCAAACTGGATTAAGCAGAAAAGAGAATACATCAGTTTGGGTAACTGGCAAATCCATTCATAGACTTCAGGTATGACTGGATCAAGGTGCTAAATGAGTATCTCTTGGCTCTACATTCTTCTGTGTTAGATTCATTCTCAGGCAAGCTCTCCCTGCAAGATGGCAGGGATTGCCCTGCCCACTCCAGAATTACATCTTCCCATCTTACATGCTCTGGTTTAGCATTCCAACAGGAAGTGACCCCTTTGCAATAGTTGAAGCAAGTCTCTAGCATCACTGTCATTGGCCCAGATTGTGGTCAGATGCTCATCCTTGAACCAGTCACCATGGCAGTGGGGAGTGGTCTGGCTCTCTCCATACAATAGAGACAGGTGATAGTTGGCTCCACTGAGCTCCATGGGCTGAATGGAGAAGAGAAGTTTCCCAAAAACAATGCTGGCTTCTGTAACGGAAGGAGCTGCAGGGCGAGCAAGCTCAGAATTGCCTACTTGCTTTCCTAGGTGCCTTCCGTGGCCTCCAAGTTCCCCTCGCAGCCTCCAGCCCAGCTTTATTCTCCTGACAGCTACTCAGGGCTTCCCTCCATGCCCCTCCCCAGTGCCCAGCCTGCATTCTAAGTATCCATCACACCTCCCAGCCTCTTTCCATCAAATATGTTTCTTAGTTTCGTTTTTGTTTTGAGACAGGCTCTCACTCTCTCACTCAGGCTGGAGTGCAGTGGCGCAATCATGACGCACTGCAGCCTCGAACTCCCAGACACCAGCAATCCTCCTGCCTCAAAATCCTGAGTGGCTGGAACTATAGGCGAGGCGTGTACCACCACACCCAGATAATTTTTTTATTTTTAGCAGAGACAAGGGTTTATCATGTTGCCCAGGCTGGTCTTGAACTCCTGGGCTCAAGTGATCTGCCTGCCTCAGACTCCCAAAGTGTTGGGATTATAGGCATAAGCCTCCACGTCCAGCCTCTTTCTTTTTCTTTTTGAGACAGAGTCTTGCTCTGTCACCCAGGCTAGAGTGCAATGGTATGATCATGGCTTACTGCAACTTCCATCTCCCAGTTTCAAGCAATCTCCATCTAATTTTTTTGTATTTTTAGAAGAGATAGGTTTTTACCATGTTGGATAGGCTGGTCTTGAACTACTGACCACAAGTGATCCTCCCACCTCGGCCTCTCAAAGTGCTAGGATTACAGACTTGAGCCACTGCACCCAGCTGGCCTCTTTTTGAATATGCCAAGTAGCATGAACTGAAGAGCATAAAAAGACCCTCCTCCCCATCCACTTTCCTCAGAACCAAAGATATCACCATTTAAAAAGTCAGCCGGCTGGGCTTGATGGCTCACGCCTGTAATCCCAACACTTTGGGAGGCCAAGTCAGGCAGATCACCTGAGGCTGGAGTTCAAGACCAGCCTAACCCAACATGGAGAAAACCTCATCTCTACTAAAAATACAAAATTAGGTCGGGTGCTGTGGCTCACGCCTGTAATCCCAGCACTTTGGGAGGCTGAGATGGGCAGATTACCTGAGGTCGGGAGTTTGAGACCAGCCTGACCAACATAGAGAAACTCTGTTTCTACTAAAAATACAAAAATTAGCTAGGCATGGTGGCACATGCCTGCAATCCTGGCTACTTGGGAGGCTGAGACAGGAGAACCACTTGAATCTGGGAGGCGGAGGTTGTGGTGAGCCAGGATCGCACCATTACACTCTAGCCTGGGCAACAAGAGCGAAATTCCACCTCAAAAATAAATACATAAACAAATTAAAAAAAAAAAAAAGCCAGGCACGTGGCTCTTGCCTGTAATTCCAGCACTTTGGGAGGTTTTGGTGGGTGGATTGCTTGAGCCCAGGAGTTAAAGACCAGCCTGAGCAACATGGCGAGACCCCGTTTCTATTAAAAAAAAAAAAAAGTCAGCATTCCCTTGGGTTAAGTATTTCCTCCACCCTGTAGCCTCTGTTATAAATCCTCTCTTCCCCAGGGGCAAGGAGAGGGCCTGGAGTGGAGAAGGCTAGGAAAGAGGCTGGAGGCGAGCATTCAGGGATTCCTTCACCCACCCATTTATTTCTTCAACAAGCATAGTCATGGGGTCCCAGTCCCACCACTTACCCAGCTGTATGACCTTGGGCATGTCACTGCAACCCCTTTGAGCCTCATTTGTTTTACGGTGAGGACTTAACCGGGTTAAATCCCTAGAAGGCTAGGGTTGTTAAATCCCTGTCATCCCACCTACTTGGGAAGCTGAGGAACAAGAATCTCTTGAACCCAGGAAGTGGTGGTTGCAGTGAGCCAAGATCACACCACTTCACTCCAGCCTGGGCAACAGAGCAAAACTCTGTCTCAAAAAATGAAATAAAAACTCAGTTCAGGCTGGGTGTGGTGGCTCACGCCTGTAATCCCAGAACTTTGGGAGTCCGAGGTGGGCAGATCACAAGATCAGAAGATCAAGACCATCCTAGCCAACATGGTGAAACCCCTTCTCCACTAAAAAAAAATACAAAAAATGAGCCAGGTGTGATGATCGGCACCTGTAGGCCCAGCTACTTGGGAGGCTGAGGCAAGGGAATTGTTTGAACCCAGGAGCCAGAAGTTGCAGTGAGCCAACATGCCAAGATTGCACCATTGCACTCTAGCCTGGCGACGGAGCAAGATTTTGTCTTAAAACGAACAAACAAACAAACAAAAAAAAACACAAAGAAAAACCAAATAAACAACAAAAATCTCAGTTGAAACGAGAATCTGCATTTTGAAGGCATGGGAGTTGTGGAAGGCCTCCCTCAGACACTGTGAGAGTCTCAGGGTTCCCTAGGGTGCTCTCTCAAGCTGTCCTTAGGGCAGTCCCCTTGTCTCAGGTGCTAATCTGGACTCCAATTCAGACCAGAGCTTTATGTGCTGAGCAACAGCTTCTGGCTGAGCTGGGCCCTGCATTCCAGCCTCTTTTCCCCTGCCTCTTGGCTCCGGCTCACCCCTCTCCAACATCTTGCCCATTCAGGCACGGGATCTCCCCATCCCTGAGGCCAGGAGAGTGTCCAGGGAGGAGTGGGAGGACCCACTCCAGAACGGGTACTGCTCGCCAGCCCTCGAGCCAGTGCCATGGCATTTCTGTCCTGGTCGTGTTTCAGGATGCTTCAGAATTTGGCAGCGGGAAGCAGCCCTCATCAGCCTCAGGAGGGTCAGAGAAGGGGCCCAGACACAGAGAAGCATTCCAGGTGGAGCCTTCAGATGTCAGGACCTGGGAGCTGAGGCCTCCAGCAAAACCAGGGTGAGCTGAGGGGATTCCCAGAGAATAGGTCCAGGAGAGAACCCCCAGTAGTGGCCCACCCAGGCCAGGGGAGCACCACCTGCCACAGCACCTTGTCTTTCTCTCTTTTTTTTTTTTTTTTTTTGAGATGGAGTTTTGCTGTTGTTACCCAGACTGGAGTGCAATGGCACAATCTCAGCTCACTGCAACCTCCGCCTCCTGGGTTCAAGCAATTCTCCTGCCTCAGCCTCCCAAGTAGCTGGGACTACAGGTGCGCACCGCCATGCCCAGCTAATTTTTGTATTTTTAGTAGAGATGGGGTTTCACCTTGTTGACCAGGACGGTCTCGATCTCTTGATCTTGTGATCCACCCGCCTCAGCCTCCCAAAGTGCTGGGATTATAGGCGTGAGCCACCGCACCCGGCCTTTCTCTCTTCTTTTTTGAGACAGAGTCTTGCACTGCCACCTGGGTGGAGTGCAACGGCACAATCTCAGCTCACTGCAACCCCCGCCTCCCAGATTCAAGCAATTCTCCTGCTTCAGTGTCCGGAGTAGCTGGGATTACAGGCAATCGGCACTATGCCTGGCTAATTTTGGTATTTTTTAGTTGAGACGGGGTTTCACTATGTTGGCCAGGCTGGTCTCGAACCCCTGACCTTGTGATCCACCTGCCTCGGCCTCCCAAAGTGCTAGGATTACAGGTGTGAACCACCACGCCCAGCTGTCCTTTGCTTTCATTGCATCGGTTGGGCTAAGGAATTCATGTTAACATTTGTCTGAACTCCCCCAACTACCACAAACATCTTTTACGTGTCTTGTTCAAGAGGCATCATATACCTGGTTCAGCCTCAAAATCCTCATGCCTGGTACTATGCGTGACACATAGTAAAGGCTCAATCAATATTGATCCACTGAATTAATAGAATAATGAACAAAAAGAGGTTGGGAGACACAAGAACACATAAAGATGTCCATCTAATTGTTTTCAAGATGAAATCTCGCTCTGTTGCCCAGGCTGGAGTGTAGTGGAGAGGTCTCGGCTCACTGCAACCTCCGCCTCCCGGGTTCAAGAGATTTTCCTGCCTCAGCCTCCTGAGTAACTGGGATTACAGGTGCCCACCACCACACCTAATTTTTGTATTTTTAGTAGAGACAGGGGTTCACTATGTTGGCCAGGCTGAGTCTCGAACTCCTAACCTTGTGATCCGTCTGCCTTAGCCTCCCAAAGTGCTGGGATTAGAGGCGTGAGCCACTGCGCCCAGCCCATGTAACTTGAATCTGGGAGTACCAGGCCATGAGGAAATCTAAATTTTGTATGTATTTTTAAACTTTTCTACAGCAAGAATGTATTCAAAAAGGAAAAAAACAAGAGCAAGCCAGAGAGAGGCAAAGTGAAAGGCTTGGAGAATAGAAATAGGAAAAGCTAGCTGGTTTGGTTGGATTAGACTATAACCAGAAACTCCTAAATAGCCTCTATGCAAGAAAAGGTAGGAGAGACAACTCAAGCCAGGTCTGAGCCCCACTAAGACAGTGACTGCATCCCACGCTGGTGGAAGTAGAAACCGTTTAAGCACACCTGCTTGAAACTGCCTTGAAACTGCCAGACCTTCACCCCTTTCTGCAAATAGGCCATGAGGATATAATTAGTGATTCAGGCAGTTTTATACACAAACACTTTCATGTCATGTTATCTTAAATACTAAAAAATTAGAAACCCCTTAAGTACCCACACAATAGGAAAATGGTTAATAATGGTTATCTATAAAATATGGAATTTTATATGTAAAAAACATGTAAAGCATGTTTCTGAAGGATTTTTAGCATGGGAAAAATGTACGCTATGATGTTCATTGAACAAAAGTAAATTAGGCTGGGCACAGTGGCTTACGCCTGTAACCCCAGCACTTTAGGAGGCTGATGCAAGTGCATCACCTGAAGTCAGGAGTTCGAGACCAGCCTGACCAACATGGTGAAACCCCGTCTCTACTAAAAATACAAAAATTAGCCAGGCATGGTGGTGTGCGCCTGTAATCTCAGCTGCTCGGGAGGCTGAGACAGGAGAATTGCTTGGACCTGGGAGGTGGAGGTTGCAGTGAGCCGAGATTGTGCCACTGCACTCCAGACTAGGAAACAAACAGAGCGAGACTCCATCTCAAATAAAAAAAAGAAAAAGAAAAAAAGTAGTTTATAATATGTATGTGGAATGTGATTGTAACTCTGTAAATTTATGCTATTATTTGAAGAGGGCAACTAAATAAATCTCCATTAAAAATATGTATTCAGGGGCCGGGGGCCATGGCTCAAGCCTGCAATCCCAACACTTTGGGAGGCCGAGGCGGGTGGATCACGAGGTCAACAGATTGAGAACATCCTGGTCAACATGGTGAAACCCCGTATCTACTAAAAATACAAAAAATTAGCTGGGCATGGTGGTGCGTGCCTGTAATCCCAGCTACTCAGGAGGCTGAGGCAGGAGAATTGCCTGAACCCAGGAGGCGGAGGTTGCGGTGAGCCGAGATCGCGCCATTGCACTCCAGCCTGGGTAACAAGAGCAAAACTCTGTCTCAAAAAAAAAAATATGTATTCAGGGACTGGCGTGGTGGCTCATGCCTGTAATGCCAGCACTTTGGGCATTACATTTGAGTTGATCAACTGAGGTCAGGGATTCCAAATCAGCCTGGCCAACATGGTGAAACCCCATCTCTACTAAAAATACAAAAATTAGCCAGGTGTTGTGTCACATGCCTATAATCCCAGCTACTAGAGAAGCTGAGGCAGAAGAATTGCTTGAACCCGGTAAGTGGAGGTTGAATTGAGTGGAGATCACGCCACTGCACTCCAGCCTGGGCAACAGATTGAGACTCCATCTAAAAAAACAGAGAGAGAGAGAGAGAGAGAGTGTGTGTGTGTGTGTGTGTGTGTGTGTATGCAGGGCCGGGCACCATGGTTCACGTCTGTAATCCTAACACTTTGGGAGGTCGAGGTGGGCAAATTACTTAAGCCCAGGAGTTCAAGACCAGCCTGGGCAACATGGCAAAACCCCATCTCTACAAAAAATACAAAAATTAGCCGGGCTTGGTGGCATATGCCTGTAGTCGCAGCTATTTGGGAGGCTAAGGCGAGAGGATCGCTTGAACCCAGGAGGTGGAGCTTGCAGTGAGCAGAGATCATGCCTCCACTGCACTCCAGCCTGGGTGACAGAGCAAGACTGTCTTTCAAAAAAAAAAGTTTGCATATTCGTCTGGGCACGGTGACTCACATCTGTAATCCCAGCATTTTGGGAGGCCGAGGCAAGTGGATCACCTGAGGTCAGAAGTACTCACAGACCAGCCTGAACAATGTGGAGAAACCCAGTCTCTACTAAAAACACAAAATTAGCCAGGTGTGGTGGTGCATGCCTGTAATCCCAGCTACTCAGGAGGCTGATGCAGGAGAATCGCTAGAACCTGGGAGGCAGAGGTTTCGGTGAGCCAAGATTGTGCCATTGCACTCCAACCTAGGCAACAAGAGTGAAATTCTGTCTCAAAAAAAAAAGTAGGTATACACATAGGGAAAAGCCTGGAAGAAATACTCCAGAATATTAAAGTGAGATCAGATAGACACAGCTTCAAATTTTGAACTGTTATCTTTAGCTTTATGACCTTAGGCTCAAATCGTTCGTCCTCTCTGCATCCCAGTTCTGATTTTTGTTTCTTTTTCAGGAAAACATTTTAAAAAATACTATGAAACTTAAATTCTAGGCTGAACACGATGGCTCACACCTCTAATCCCAGCACTTTGGGACGCCGAGGTGGGAAGATTGCTTGAGCCCAGGAATTCAAGACCCGCCTGGGCAATATAGGGAGACCACGTCTCTACAAATAATTTTAAAAGTTTAAATTCTAACTCCCCCAAACACTGACATCAAAGCATCTAGGATTTGGGGAATGCCTGTGAGTCCTTCATTTGTCCTCTCAGGCATTAGGTATGCACCTATGGTATGTTTAGCCCCATAATATAAAACAGGTCCCCAGTCTGGGAGCTGAAGTGTCACTTTGTCTATTTTCCCCAGGAAGAAGCAGTCCTCTTGGGTCCCCCAGAAAGGGTCCCAGGAGCTGCAAGCAGGCCAGGATCAGAGTGAGCTGGGGTTGTCGCCTTCCTGGATTCCTGAAGCACGTGAAGGGCTGCAGCAGCCGGGCTCTGGGAAAAAGATCAAGGGCCAGCAGGGGAGGCAACGGAACCCGGGAATCCAGGAGGATCAGCCTCCTGAGAGCTGCCAGGTAACCTCCTAGGAGATAGGAAGAAGGGTGTGGAATGACCTACCACAGGGGAGGTGGAGGAGCCCCCTCCCACCATGCCCCCCATTCTGGAGCAGGTACCTGTAGTCCCAGCTGCTTGGGAGACTGAGGCAGGGGGATCCCTTGAGCCCAGGAGTCAAGGCTGCAATGAGCTGTGTTCAGAACACTGCACTTCATTCAGCCTGGGTGACAGAGTGCTTGCTCCCTCTGTGCCCTGAAGATGCTAAGCGCTTAGTCTATGGGTCACTGGGCTATTCCCCCAGCCTGCATCACAAGCATTTAAGTCTTCTGTTCAGGCTGGACATGGTGGCTCATGTGTGTAATCCCAACACTTTTGGAGGCCACAGCAGGAGGATCACCTGAGGTCAAGACCAGCCTGGCCAACATGGTGAAACCCCGTATCTACTAAAAAAACAAAATTAGCTGAGCATGGTGGCGCATGCCTATAATCCCAGCTACTCAGGAGGCTGAGGCAGGAGAATCACTTGGACTGGGCAGGTGGAGGTTGCAGTGAGCCGAGACCATGCCATTGCACTCCAGCCTGGGCTATGAGAGTGACACTCCCATCTCAAAAAGGTAATACACTGGGCGCAGTGGCTCACATCTGTAATTCCAGCACTTTGAGAGGCCAAGGCAGGCGGATCACGAGGTCGGGAGATTGAGACCATCCTGGTTAACACAGTGAAACTCTGTCTCTACTAAAAAATTACAAAAAATTAGCCAGGCATGGTGGCACACGCCTGTAGTCCCAGCTACGCAGGAGGCTGAGGCAGGAGAATCTCTTGAACCGGGGAGGTGGAGGTTGCAGTGAGCTGAGATTGCGCCACTGCACTCCACCCTGGGCAACAGAGTGAGACTCCGTCTCAAAAATAAATAAATAAATAAAGTAAGATAATACAAATAAAATAAACATAAATCTTATTTCCAGAGTGGCCCCACAGTATGTCAGTGGGGCTGGGGGAGGGAGGAGGTGCCAGGTTCTGTATACAGATACTATTGGGAGATGCTGAGTTTAACAAAGCTGAAATGGGTTTCGGTATGCTAGGATATCCTGGAAGTAGTTTACTCACGGCTGAACGTTTGTAAGGTTTTGACAGATATGATTAGAGGTCAGCTGCCGTGGCTCACGCCTGTAATCCCAGCACTTTGGGAGGCTGAGGCAGGAGGATCGCTTGAGCCCAGCAGTTTGAGATCAGCCTGGGCAATATGGTAAAAACCCATCTCTACAGAAAATACAGAAGTTAGCTGGATATGGTACTCAGGAGACTGAGATGGGAGGATCCCCCGGGGTCAAGGCAGCAGTGAGCCAAGCTCACACCACTCTGCTCCAGCCTGGGTGACAGAGTGAGACCCTATCTCACAAAAAAAGATATGGTTAGAGTATATTGCCTTTCCCATAATGTAGTCAAATTTATTTAACGACGAAATGTCTTTTTATTTATTTATTTATTTATTTTTGAGCCGGAGTTTCGCTGTTGTTACCCAGACTGGAGTGCAATGGCACGATCTGGGCTCACCGCAACCTCCACCTCCTGGGTTCAGGCAATTCTCCTGCCTCAGCCTCCCGAGTAGCTGGGACTACAGGCGTGCACCACCTACCCAGCTAATTTTTGTATTTTTAGTAGAGACGGGATTTCACCATGTTGACCAGGATGGTCTCGATCTCTTGACCTCGTGATCCACCCGCCTTGGCCTCCCAAAGTGCTGGGATTATAGGCATGAGCCACCATACCCGGCCCTTTTTGTTTATTTTTAAGATTTATTTTTAACAGCTTCAGTTTGGCATACACTTGCACATGCTTCAAGTGTACAATTTAATGTTTTGATATACGTACACACCCACAAAACCATCCCAGCAATCAAGAAAGCAAACCTAGCCATCAGCCCAACCATTTCTTCATGCCCTTTCTCACCTCTCCCACTAGTCTCCTAATTTCAGGCAGCCACCAACTATTACTACAGATCTGTTAAGTGTTTCCTGGAATTTTACACAAACGAAATTGAACAGTGTACATTCTTTCTGTCTGGCTTTGTCCACTCCGCATGACTATTTGAGATTCATCTATTGTGTTTTTACATGTTGCTCCTTCAGTTGCTCAGTCGTATCTCCATTCTATGGATAGACCATAATATACCACTTTTTCTTTTTTTGAAATGGAGTTTCACTCTGTTGCTTAGGCTGGAGTGCAGTGGTGTGATCTTGGCGCACTACAACCTCCGCCTGGGTTCAAGTGATCCTCCCACCTCAGCCTCCTGAGTGGCTGGGATTACAGGCGCACACCACCTCGCCCGGCTAATTTTTTTATTTTTAGTAAACACAGGGTTTCACCATGTTGGCCAGGCTGGTCCCGAACTCCTAACCTTATGTGATCCGCCAATTTAGGCTTTTGCTATTTTTTTTTAAGAGACAGTCTCACTCTGTCGCCCAGGCTGGAGTATAGTGGTATGATCATGGCTTACGACAACCTCTGCCTCCTGGGTTCAAGTGATTCTCGTGCTTCAGCCTCCCAAGTAGCTGGGATTACAGGCATGAGCCACCATACCTAGCTAATTTTTTTTTTTTTTTTTTTTTTTTTTGAGGAGTGTCGCTCTTGTTACCCAGGCTGGAGTGCAATGGCGCGATCTCGGCTCACCGCAACCTCTGCCTCCTGGGTTCAAGCAATTCTCCTGCCTCAGCCTCCTGAGTAGCTGGGATTACAGGCACACGCCACCATGCCCAGCTAATCTTTGTATTTTTAGTAGAGACGGGGTTTCACCATGTTGGCCAGGATGGTCTCGATCGCTTGACCTCGTGATCCACCCGCCGTGGCCTCCCAAAGTGCTGGGATTACAGGCATGAGCCACCACGCCCGGCCGCTAATTCTGTATTTTTAGTAGAGACATAATTTCTCCATGTTGGCCAGGCTGGTCTTGAACTCCTGACTTTAAGTGATCTGCCTGCCCCTTAGCCTTCCAAAGTTCTGCAGGTGTGAACCACTGCGCCTGGCCAAAAATCCCTCTTTTTAAGAAGGCTCATGAAGGATTCTTGTTCTTTGAAACATCCCTTGGAAAATCCCATTTAAGGCTGGGCATGGTGGCACGTGCCTGTAATCCCAGCACTTTGGGAGGCTGAGGCAGAAGAATGCTTGAGCCCAGGAGTTCAAGATGAGCCTGAGCAACATAATGAGACCTCATCTCTATCAAAAATTTAAAAATATCAGCCAGGCATGGTGACACATACCTGTAGTCCCAGCTACTCAGGAAACTGAAGCAGGGGGATCCCTTGAGCCCAGGAGGTTAAGGCTGCAATGAGCTGTGTTCATGCCACTGCTCTCCAGCCTGGGTGACAAGAGTGAGACTTGTCTCAAAAAAAAAAAAAAAAAAAGAATACACACAAGTAAAAGAAAATCCTATATAAAGGGGATCTTCTGCTTTTTCAGGCTCCCATTCCACTCCCACAGGGAAGTGTAGTTCTTTGAGTAGGCCACGCCTTCTCTGGACTTCAATTTCCCCACCCCTCAAAATGTAAGAGTACCTGAGCTACCTTCTAGGGGTGCTGGGAGAATTAAGTAAGATGATGCCTGAAGTTCTTACTTAGGGACCCTAGGAAGTGTGTAATAACTGGTCTCCAGTTCACCTGGAGCACTGCAGTTCACCTGGGAACCAAGATGGAGCTCCCCATCCTTGGTATCTTTGTCCTTGGCAGGGCGCTGGATGTCAGTCCACCCTAGGTCACCAGGCAGACATGGTGCAGCCAAGAGAGGCTTCTTGCCCCTTGGAGAGCCGTGGCCAGCCACTGAGAGACAAGCACCCCAAGGAGGCAGGCGTCCCACACATCAGGCCACAGGAGGCTCTGCCAGAGCTCAGCCCAGGGGGACATGAGGATAGCTCTCAGGAAGCAATGTCCCCAGTGTCCATGGTGGCTCTAGAGGAAAAGGCAGCCAACCCCTTCCTACCATCCATGCCTGGACCTAAGAAAACAAAAGAAGGGTAAGTCACCATCCAGTGCCATCTCCTGACCCACCCACTGCCTCAACAAGAATGCACTTCCGCTGAGTGTCAGGTGAGGTGAATTCTAGTCCAAACTGCTCTGGACCTGGAAGAGGACCTTGCGGTGAGTCATGCCCCCGGGTCTCAATTTCCCCATCTGTGTAATAGCTGGAATAGCAGAATTCTTTTTCCCATGATCCTGAATACATGAGGATGTGGGGGAATAAGGAGCCCCCCAGAGGTGAGAAGGTCAAACGGACAATGCTGGGGTGGAACTGAGTGTCCTGGGGGCTAAGAGGGGAGGGCAAGGGGCACGCCTTCAGCTGAGCCCTTCCCTCACCTGGGGTATCTCCTCTTTTCAGGGTTGAGGCTGTGGAGAACCAGCCAGCACCTGGGCCTCTTCCTCCACCAGTAAGTAGGGCCATAGTGGGTATGGGGATGGGCTGTGTAAGGGGAGGGCAGGGGAATCAAGAGGAGGAAGAGGGCAGAGGTGGATATGGCAGGTCAAACCCATGTTTGGAGTCAAACCAAGGAAGGTGTGTGTGCCTGTGTGTGCAAGTGCACGTGGATGTGCGTGTGTGTGTATGTGTGCTGTCTGTTCATGTGTGTATGCATGAGTATGTATTCTGGGTGGGGGTCAAGAATGCTCTTATACTCTACATTCTGGTGCCCTTGGGTTCATCCCAGGTGGGGTGGCTTGTTCCATGTCAGCATGCATTTCTTCCACCCATTTGCCCTCGGCCACAGCCACACAATCTGAAGAGTCGCTGAACACCTGGAAGGCTTCCCTGACCCCTGCTAGCCACCCCTCCCTCCCCCAGCTCTGCCACTTCCTAGTTCTTTGACCTGACCAGGCAACCTGCAAATACACAGTCACTAGCATGCCCTGCCAGCACCTGCCCTGTCTCATCCTGCTGTGTTCATTGGCAAAACCCCAGCCTGGCTAAATCCATGCCTTGTGCCCATGTTGAGCAGCTCAACATGGCTGGAGAATATCCTGTCTTGTAGATGGGTTTCACTTTCTTCCTTCTTTTTCTTTTTTGAGACTGAGTTTCACTCTTGTCCATGCTGGAGTACAGTGTGATCTCTGCTCACTGCAACCTCCACCTTCCGGGTTTAAGTGATTCTCCTCCCTCAGCCTCCCAAGTAGCTAGAATTACAGGCATGTGCCCCCACACACGACTAATTTTTTGTATTTTTAGTAGAGACAGGGTTTCTCCATGTTGGTCAGGCTGGTCTCGAACTTCCGACCTCAGGTGATCCACCCACCTCAGCCTCCCAAAGTGCTGGGATTACAGGCTTCAGCCACCACACCTGGCCCCACTTTTCAATTTTGACATTAGTTTCTCCACAAGGCCTTTCCTGGGCAGCTGTTTTATTGTCTTTGTAGTACTTTTGCCCTCCGACATTATTATTATTATTATTATTTTTAGAGACAGGGTCTCGCTATGTTGCCCAGGCTGCAGTGTAGTGGCTTATTCACAGGCGCAACCCCACTAATCAGCACGGGAGTTTTGACCTGCTCTGTTTCGGACCTGGGCCAGTTCACCCCTCCTTAGGCAACCTGGTGGTCCCCCACTTCCGGGTCACCATACTGATGCCAAACTAGTGCGGACACCCGATCGGCATAGCGCACTACAGCCCAGAACTCCTGGGCTCAAGCGATCCTCCCACCTCAGCCTCCCTAGTAGCTGGGACTACAGGCACGTGCCACCATGCCCGGCGACATTATCTTTAAGTTATCGACCTATTCATCATCTAGAAAGCAAACTCCCTGAGGGCAGCCTCACTAGTTGACGTACTCCTCTATGCTCTGTGCAAACAATGCCCAGCTTGTGGTAGGTACTCAACAGGAATGTGTTGAATAAATGAATGGATGGGAATAAGACGAGGTACCTCTCTGGACTGATGAGAAATCAGATGAGAAATAAGAACTAGGCCAGGCGTGGTGGCTCACACCTGTAATCCCAGCACTTTGGGAGGCTGAGGTGAGCAGATCACCTGAGCTCAGAAGTTCAAGACCAACCTGGTCAATATGGTAAAACTCTGTCTATTAAAAACACAAAAAAATTAACAGAGTGTGTTGGAGTGCACCTGTAGTCCTAGCTACTCAGAAGGCTGAAGCAGGAGAATCACTTGAACCCAGGAGGTGGAGGCTTCAGTGAGCCGAGATCGCGCCATTGCACTACAGCCTGGGCAGCGAGGTAAAACTGTCTCAAAAAAAAAGGAAAGAAAAGAAAGGGCAGCCAGGCAGCAGACCCATCACAAGGAAAGTTACAGAGATGGGAAAGAACGTGAAATGAAGAGTGATGATGGGGAGGGCCATCCTCTGGGCCTTGTGAGACAAGAGTATTGGATATGATGGACAGAGCAGCTGAAAAGCTAGGCTGGCTGTCATATGAAGCCTCCAGTATTGAGACAGGCTTACGGTGTGCTGGTTGCCAACTTGTGTGAGTCCAGCGAGGCAGAATACCCATGTATACATGTTCTATCAAGCGGGTTTAATACTAAAGATGGGCAGCAAAGGACAACAGAAGCCTAGAATCCACTGTGCTCCTGGGCCCCAAGGCTCAGGAAAGCTGTCTGGGGCAGAGGGCATCTTGTCTGTGTGTGCCCCACTTGCTGAGCCCCAGAAAGCAGCCCACCCTGGGTTTTGTACCTCAAGGTGACATGATTTGCTGGGCTAAAGCCTTGAAGGCTGTCCTATTTCTGGGCTCAGGGAAGTGGAACAGATCCTGGGGTGTTCCAGCCAGGCCCTCCCTATCTTAGGATATTGCATTCTCAGCACATTTTTTTTTTTTTTTTTTTTTGAGACAAAGTCTTGCTGTGTTGCCCAGCCTGGAGTGCAGTGGTGTGATCTCAGCTTACTGCAACCTCCGCCTCCTGGGTTCAAGCAATTCTCCTGCCTCAGCCTCCTGAGTAGCTGGGATTACAGGCATGTGCCACCACGCCCAGCTAATTTTTTGTATTTTTAGCAGAAACAGGGTTTCACCATATGGGTCAGGCTGGTCTCGAATTCCTGACCTCAGATGATCCACCTGCCTCAGACTCCCAAAGTGCTGGGATTACAGGCATGAGCCACTGCACCCGTTCCTCCCAGTACATTCTTTAACTGTGTAATCTTCGGTTAAAGAGATACAAGTGAGAAACGAGATAGAACTGGGTGTGTCAAAGGCCCACCTGCACCTGGAGACCCATCCTGCACAGTCCTGGAGTGAAGCATTTGGCCTTTGCACTCCAATGTCTCTCTTAATGCCTTGTGCAAAGCTGGGCCTAAGAATAAAAGCTAGACTAGAGCATGCCGAGGCTGGGGACTAGGCACCCCTGTACCCACACGACTGCATGTGTGGATGAGGGATGGGTATGACAGTCATAGGCAGCCCCTGCAGGCTCAGGGTTAGCAGGCAGTGACACCAGAGCTGTACAGAGGTCAACGCTGTAGCCTGTGCAGGACATGTGGTGCCAGGGGGAAGGGGCTCAGAGAAGGCAGAAGGAGAAATCCAGGTTTGTGAGAGTTGGAGAAGCTGGAGGGGAGGACATCAGAGCCTTGGCACCATCATTTACCCACAGGCTGAGCACCTGTTGGGAGCAAAGCTTGGTGCTGGGTCCTGATATAATAGGAGACATTCTGAGACAGATTCCTACCCACCTTTGGGCTCAGAGTCTGTATCTGCAACAGGGGCAGAGGCCCTGGATTTCGGAAGCCCTGTAGTCCCCAGAGGGCCATGAGAGAGTCCCTGGAGGGCCATGATGACAGTGAGGCTGGATTCATGGCCACCGTCTTGGGCCCCCAATATCACAACGGAGCAGGAGACCCAGAACTGCTTTTATTTATTTATTTGTTTGTTTGTTTATTTTGAGACAGAGTCACATTCCATCACCCATGCTAGAGTGCAGTGGCATGATCTCGGCTCACTGCAACCTCCGCCTCCTGGGCTCAAGTGAGCCTCCCACCTCAGCCCCTTCAAGTAGCTGGTAGTACAGGCACGGGCCACCACACCTGGCTAATTTTGTATTTTTTGTAGAGACAGAGTTCCACCAAGTTGCCCAGGCTGGTCTCAAACTCCTGAGCTCAAGCGATCCACCTGCCTCAGTGTCCCAAAGTGTTAGGATTACAGGCATGAGCAACCACACGTGGACCAAAATGGCTTTTGATTGCTAGTTTGTTTTGGGCTTGACAGAAATTGAGCATTTGCCTTCAATTCGGGAAAACAATCAAAGGAGTCTTTGGCATGGAAAAACTGGGTCTCTTTTCTAGGCGTCAGAATACTCAACTATGATTATTTTCAACCCTACTGTGTGCGGAGCACTTACTCTGTCCAAGTGCTTTACTTACATTATCTTGCTTCTCAGCAAGATAAGAGATATGTCACTGAGAAAAGTGAAATAATCAGTGTTTAGCTAATATACTTATTGAGGATGACATGCCAAACACAGTTGTGCAACTGGGGACTTCATGGTGAATGGAGCTTGTGACCTAGTTGGTGGAAAGTCTAGACCATTAACATGAAAACAAATAAATACAGTTAACGTCAGGTGCGGTGGCTCATGCCTGTAACCCCAGCACTTTGAGTGGCTGAGGTGGACAGATCACTTGAGGCCAGGATTTTAAGACCAGCCTAAGCAAAATGGCAAAATCCCATCTCCACTAAAAATACAAAAAAATTAGCTGGGCTGTGGTGGTGCACACCTGTGATCCCACCTACTTGGGAGTCTGAGGCACAAGAATCACTTGAACCTGGGAGGTGGAGGTTGCAGTGAGTTAAGATCATGCCACTGCACTTCAGCCTGAGTGACAGAGCAAGACTCTGTCACAAAAAAAAAAAAAAAAAATAGGCTGGGCACAGTGGCTCACACCTATAATCCCAGCACTTTGGGAAGCCGACTCCAGTGGACAACCTGAAGTCAGGAGTTCAAGACCAGCCTGGCCAACATGTCAAAACACCGTCTCTAATAAAAGTACAAAAATTAGCTGAGTATGGTGGCGAGCGCCTATAATCCCAGCTACTCAGGAGGCCGAGGCAGGAGAATCGCTTGAACCTAGGAGGCAGAGGTTGCAGTGAGCCAATATCGCGCCACTGCACACCAGCCTGGGTGACAGAGCAAGACTTAGTCTAAAAAAAAAAAAATTAGCTCAGTGTGGTAGTGCACGGCTGTAGTCCCAGCTACTCTGGAGGCTGAGGTGGGAGGATCACTCACTTGAGCCTGCAAGGTCAAGACTACAGCGAGCTGAGATCATGCCACTGCACTCCAGCCTGAGTGACAGAGCAGAACCCTGTCTCAAAAAAAAAAACCCACAGCTCACAGCACCAGCAGGTGGCAAGTCAAGTGTTGGGAAGGAGGACATGGGGCAGGAACATAGTGGGGTGCATGTGAGATTTGGGGTACATCCTCCAAAGGCTCAGAGGGTAAGGGGCAGTCTGAGGATCTCTGGAGAGGGGATGGCAGGGAGGAGCTTTGTGGGACACTCTGGCTGGCTAGAGGCCTCCCAGATCCCCTCCCCCATCCCCAGGAGGTGAGGGACATTGGAGACAGCCGGGAGCTGGACCGTGCACAGCACCAGCTTCAGGACCCCGTAGTGGCTTCAGGGAAACCGAGCCTCAGAAACCTCCGGCGGGGCTTCATTAAGTGCTTGCTGGAGATGGAGGAAGTGGAGGCCTCCCATCGGAGAGCCCTGAAGGCTCGGTCCCTGACAGCCCAGAAGTCCCCCAGGACTGTGACCCGTGTACCCACCTCAACCCCAAGCCTGCCTCAGACCCCTGCCTCAGACCCTGCCAGCTGCTCATCATGGGCCCAGCTGCCAGCTCCTGGGCCAGTACCTGCCCTCGTGGGAGCCCCGGTCTCCACCTCCATGCCTTGCACTGTCCTGCTGGGCCCCTCCCTGGACCTGAGCTGGAGAAGGATGGAACTCTTGCATCAGAGCAGCGAGAGGACCCTGAGCTACTCCAAGGCACAGTAGGAGCCCCCTGCTGCTCACTCATCCGCTCCTGGAGGGCCCCAAGATCAGAGCCTTGTTCCGGATGCAAGTCCCCATCCCTGCACCTGCCTGTTCCAGTGTATCACCCTCTCTCCAGTTCTCGTCCTGTGTCTCCTCTCTGCAGCTCCCACGTCTCCGCCTCCTCTCCCATTTCTGACCGTTTTCTAACTCCCCTGAAGGGTCTCCCTCTAGTCCCCTCTCCTCTGTCCCACTCCTGCTCTGGGTCTCCTTCTTGTTGTCATTCTTGATCTCTCCTGGCTCCTCAAAGCCTCCCCCATTACCTCTTCCTGCAGGCTCCCCCACCCCCTCCCCTAGCTATTGGCAAGGTGGGCATCTGGATGTTGCCCTGGGCTGGGGTTCTGTCCTCTGCAGGCAGGAGCCGGTAGAGCACAGCCTCCAAAAGCCGTGTCAAAACTGGGAGGAGAGGCCCGAGGAGCACCTGAACCTGAAGCAAGAGGAAGGTGAGGGCGAGGAGGCCAGGGAGGTCCCAGCACAGGGAGGACCCTTGGTCCCTGGGGGTATATAATCACAGAACGGACTGGGGTGTTTTCCAGGTCACATGCTGCAGTGATGCCCACCACACTACCAGACCCGGCAAGGATTTTCTGCACTTGGCCTATGGGCCAGCGCAGGGTTGGAATCTGGCCCCAGCTCACAAAGCTGCTGGGTGGGGGCCAGAACTCATGCTGGGTCATCTTTTTTTTTCCTTTTCCTTTTTTTTTTTTTTTCCATCTGTCGATAGGCTGGAGTGAAATGGCGCGATCTCAGTTTGCTGCAACCTCTGCCTCCCAGGTTCAAGCGATTCTCCTGCCTCAGCTTCCCAAGTAACTGGGATTACAGGCACCAGCTACCACGCCCAGCTAATGTTTGTATTTTTTGTAGAGACGGAGTTTCACCATGTTGGCCAGGATAGCCTCGATCGCTTGACCTCGTGATTCGCCAGTCTTGGCCTCCCAACGTGTTGGGATTACAGGCGTGAGCCACCAGACCCGGCCATTTATTCTTTTTCTTTGAGAGTTTTGCTCTGTTGCCCAGGCTGGAATGCAGTGGTGCGATCTCAGCTCACTGTAATCTCCGCCTCCAAGCGATTCTCCTACATCAGCCTCCTGAATAGTTGGGATTACAGGTGCGTGACACCATGCCTGGCTAATTTTTGTATTTTTAGTGGAGACGGGGCTTCACCATGTTGGCCAGGCTAGTCTCAAACTCCTGAACTCAAGTGATCCACCCACCTCGGCCTCCTATAGCGCTGGGATTATAGGCGTGAGCCACTGTGCTGGCCTCGTGGCTTTGAGTCTTCTGACTCAAAGTCCAGTGCTCTCCCAGTGTCAGAGCTGCCTCTCTGAGAGAATGACAGAAGCCCTGCAGAGTGCTTTAGGTTTTGGAATCATTTCTGCTTCCCTTAACCCAAGCCTGTTCTACCAGTCCTCCTCAGAGCAGCCTGGATGGGAGACAGGGCTCAGGGTACCCTGTCCATCCTAGACAGTCTCTCACCATTAAACAAGGCAACCAGCCTAGACATGGCCTTATTCCCACCGCATCTCACCTTCACCAAAAAGTTAAAATGTTCTGAATACTAGGCCAGGCATGGTGCTTCACGCCTGTAATCCCGGCACTTTGGCAGGTGGAGGCGGGTTGATTCACGAGGTCAGCAGTTCAAGACCAGCCTGGTCAAGATGGTGAAACCCTGTCTCTACTAAAAACTAAAAAAAAATTAGCCAGGCGCTATGGCAGGTGCCTGCAATCCCAGCTACTTGGGAGGCTGAGACAGGAGAATTGCTTGAACCTGGGTGGCAGAGGTTGCAGTGAGCTGAGATCACGTCACTGCACTCCAGCCAGGACAACAGAGTGAGACTGTCTCAAAAAAAAAAAAGTTCTGAACACCTACCCTGCTCTCTACTATCCCTCAGGACTGGGCCCTGTGACCCCACTCCCCTATCACCCTGGCCCTAGAAGAATGGATGTACATTCCTCTTCCATCCCCGACTCCTCCCCAAAGCCTACAGCCCTCTCGGCCAGATCAGTCCCTTCCTCTCTCTTCCCTGGATGCTCTCACTGGCTCCCTGTGACCCCATCCTTGAAGTTCACCCTTTTTAGCATTAAAACTCTCTATCGGCCGGGCACGGTGGTTCATGTCTGTAATCTCAGCATTTTGGGAGGCCAAGGTGGGAGGATCACAAGGTCAGGAGTTAGAGACCAGCCTGGCCAAAATAGTGAAACCCGGTCTCTATGAAAAATACAAAAATTAGCCAGGTGTGGTGACACCTGCCTGTAATTCAGGCTACTCAGGAGGCTGAGGCAGGAGAATTGCTTGAACCCAGGAGGCGGAGGATGCAGTGGGCCAAGATCGTGCCTCTGCATTCCAGCCTGGGTGACAGAGTGAGACTCCATCTAAAAATAAATGAACAACTAACTCCCTCGCCACCTTCCTAAGTGCAGCTGTCCCTGCCCACCTCTTTGAGCAGTTCATAAACAATATACCACTTTGACTTAGAGATTCAGGGTCCCACATCTACCAATCCCTGTCTGGTAATTAAAGAGCCCACCACCCTGCTACAGTGGCTCAAACCACCAAGCATTCTGAGAGATCTTACCTGCTTTTGAGAGTTGCTCTGATTTTTCTTTTTGTGGTGGGCCTGCCCAGGGCAGGTCACCACATGCTGCAACACCAATCCTAGCCCCACCTCTTCCCCACCATTCAGCGCTGTTTGTCAGAGACTTCCAGGCTAACAGAGGCTATTGTGTGCCAGGCACTGAGTTCATATAATGCCTCCAAGAGTGTGCACTGTTGTGATGGCCATTGTACAGATCTGGAAATAGAGGCTCAGAGAAGTGCAGCAACTTGCCCATGGCAGCCCTCCCAGTTAGCGCGGGCTGCCATAACAAAGGACTGCAGACCGGGTGGCTGAAACAGCAGACACTTATTTTGTCACAGTTCTGGAGAAGAAGTCCAAGATCAGGATGCCAGCAGGTTGATTTCTTCTGTGGCCTCCCTGCGTGGCTTGCAGACAGCTGTGTTCTCACTGTCCTCACGTGGTCTTTCCTCTGTGAATGCGCAACCCTCGTATCTTTTTTTTTTTTTTTGAGATGGAGTTTCGCTCTTGTTACCCAATTGCAATGGCGCAATCTCGGCTCACCGCAACCTCCGCCTCCTGGGTTCAAGCAATTCTCCTGCCTCAGCCTCCCGAGTAGCTGGGATTACAGGCGCGCACCCCCATGCCCAGCTAATTTTTGTATTTTTAGTAGAGATGGGGTTTCACCATGTTGACCAGGATGGCCTCGATCTCTTGACCTCGTGATCCACCCGCCTTGGCCTCCCAAAGTGCTGGGATTATAGGCATGAGCCACCGCGCCCAGCTTGGTATCTTTCTGTGTATTCAAATTTGCATTAATTTTTATTTATGTATTTATTTATTTTTTGAGATGGAGTCTCAATCTGTTGCCTAGGATAGAGTGCAGTGGCATGATCTCAGCTGACTGCAGCCTCCCCTTCCTGGGTTCAAGTGATTCTCCTGCCTCAGCCTTCTGAGTAGCTGGGATTACAGGTGTGCACCACCACACCTGGGTAATTTTTGTATTTTTAGTAGAGAGGTTTCACCATGTTGGTCAGGCTGGTCTTGAACTCCTGACCTCGTGATCCTCCCACAGCCTCCCAAAGTGCTAGGATTACAGTGTGAGCCACTGCGCCTGGCCTATTTTTTTATTTATGTATTTATTTATTCTTTTGAGACAGGGTCTTGCTCTGTCGCTCAGGCTGGAATGCAGTGGTGCAGTCCTACCTCACTGAAGCCTCCACCTTCAGGGCTCAAGGAATCCTCCCACCTCAGTCTCCTGAGTGGCTGGGGCTACAGGCACGTGCCAATGTACCTGGCTAATTTCTCAAATTTCTTACAGAGACAGAGTCTCTTGTGTTGCCCAGTCTGGTCTCGGACTCCTGGGCTCAAGTGAGTCTTACTGCCTCGGCTTCCGAAAGTGCTGGGATTACAGGTGCAAGCCATCACCTAGCCAAAATTGCTTTTGTATGAGGACACAGGTCAGATTGGATGATCCACCCTAAAGGCCTCTTTTTAACCTAATCACCTCTGTAAAGGCCCTGTCTTCAAACATGGTCACATTTGGAAGTACTGGGGGTTGGAGCTTCAACATAAAAGCCACCCAGCTTATTAAATGGCACAGCCAGGCCGGGCATGGTGGCTCATGCCTATAACTCCAGCCCTTTGGGAGGCCGAAGCAGGAGGATCACTTGAGCCTAGGATTTCAACCCCAGCTGGGAGACCCCATTTTTACTAAAAATTAAAAACGTTGGTACTCAGGGGGCTGAGGGAGGAGAATCACGTGAACCTGGAGGCGGAGGTTGCAGTGAGCCAAGATCCCACCACTGCACTCCAGTCTGGGCGACAACGTGAGATTCCTTCTCAAAAATAAATAAATAAATAAAAATAATTTAAAAAAAAAAAAAAAATGCTGGGCCGGGCACAGTGGCTCAAGCCTGTAATCCCATCACTTTGGGAGGCCGAGGCAAGTGGATCACGAGGTCAAGAGATGGAGACCATCCTGGTCAACATGGTGAAACCCCGTCTCTACCAAAAAAAAAAAAAAAAAACCAAAAAATTAGCTGGGCATAGTGGCACGTGCCTGTAATCCTGGCTACTCAGGAGGCTGAGGCAGGAGAATTGCCTGAACCCAGGAGGCAGAGGTTGCGGTGAGCCGAGATTGTGCCATTGCACTCCAGCCTGGGCAACAAGAGTGAAACTCCGTCTCAAAAAAAAAAGAAAAAGAAAAAAAGCTGGGCATGGTGGTGCGCACCTGTAGTCCCAGCTACTGGGGAGGCTCAAACAGTAGGACCTCTCGAGCCCAGGAGATGGAGGATTCAGTGAGCCATGATCACACCATTGCACTCCCACCAGAGCTATAGAGGAAGACCCTCTGTTGACTTCAACCCACAATTTGCCATTGGCTGAGAAACCAGACACCATACGATCTGACTAGTACATGGCCTTTGCATCAGTTAGAGCTGCTCTGGGACACTCTCAGACCCTTCCCATCCTCTGCTGTGGTCCACACAATGCAGCAATCCTAGCGACCACGTCCATCCAGATAGGTGACCAAGGCGCAGGGCACAGACTTAGTCAGAAAGACTGTCCAGTCACCTAACCTCTGAGCCTCAGTTTCCCCATCACTACAACAGGAATAAGCATTCTCAGCCTCCCAAGTAGCTGGGACAACAGACACGCACCACCAGGCCCGGCTAATTTTTGTATTTTTAGTAGAGACAGGGTTTTGCCATGTTAGCCAGGCTGGTCTCGAACTCCTGGCCTCAGGTGATCTGCCCGCCTCGGCCTCCCAAAGGGCTGGGATTACAGGCATGAGCCACCATGCCCAGCTCCTTTATTTTCACTCTTGATGGTAGAGGAGGCTGGCAGGACAGTGGTTGGGGTGATGGGATGAATGGGGGAAACAAGAAATGCCCCCACCCCACATAACCCTGCCCTCCCCACAGCCTTCCGCAGCTACTTTGAGATCTTCAATGGTCCTGGTGAGGTGGACACACAGAGCCTGAAGAATATCCTGCTCCTAGTGGGCTTCTCTGTGACACCGGCCCAGGTGGAGGACGCCCTGATGAGTGCTGACGTCAATGGTGAGTGGCGGAGGGCTCCACTCTTCGTCCCAGGCAGGGCCTGCTTCACTGGCATGAGAGCTGTGCTGCTGCATGGGCGCCACACTTGGAGGGTCCCGCGCTTGGTGTAATGCTCTGCTGTCACAATCTAGAAATTCCTTTGTTCTTGTTGTTTGAGATGGGGTCTCATTCTGCTGCTCAGGCTGACTGAGTGCAATGCTGTGATCCTGGCTCACCAAAGCCTTGACCTCCTAGGCTCAAGCAATCCTGCCACCTCAGCCTCCTGAATAGCTGGAACTGTAGGCATACTACCATGCCTGGCTAATTTTTTGTTTTTTTGAAGAGATAGGGTCTCGCTTTGTTGCCCAGGCTGGTCTCAAACTCCTGGATTCAAGGGATCCACCACCCTCAGCCTCTTGAAGTGCTGGGATTACAGGTGTGAGCTACTGTGCCTAACATCATAGAATTTTTTATTTCTCCTGAGACAAAGTCTCACTCTGTCACCCAGGCTGGGGCGCAGATCTTGGCTCACTGCAACCTCTACTGCCCAGGTTCAAGTGATTCTCCTGCCTCAGCCTCCTAGTAGCTGGGATTACAGGTACCTGCCACCACACCTGACTAATTTTTGTAGTTTTAGTAGAGACGGGCTTTCACCATCTTGGCTGGGCTGATCTTGAACTCCTGACCTCATGATCTACCTGCCTTGGCCTCCCAAAGTGCTGGGATTACAGGCGTGAGCCACCACGCCTAACATCATAAAAATTCTTAATAATTTTTTTTTGCTTTAAAAAAAAAATGTTTCTTTGTTTGTTTATGAGACAGTCTTGCTCTGTCACCCAGGATGGAGTGCAGTGGTGTGATCTTTGCTCACCACAACCTCCACCTCCCAGGTTCAAGCGATTCTCCTGCCTCAGCCTCCCGTGTAGCTGGGACTACAGGGGTGCAACACCACGCCCGGCTAAGTTTTGTATTTTTAGTAGAGACAGAGTTTCACCATGTTGGCCTGGCTGGTCCTGAACTGGCCTCAAGTGGTCTGGCCACTTCACCCTCCCAAAGTGCTTGGATTACAGACGTGAACCACCACAGCTGCCCACATTAGCTGCTAGTATTATTTTTATCTAATAAATACTTACTAAATGTCTTCTGTGGGCCCATCCCTTTGCAGGGCACAGAGGATAAGGAGACGTATAAGACACATGAGATCCTGCCCTGGAAGGGCTCACAGAAACAGCTACTGCCATTAGGCGAGGGCTGACACAAAAGAAAGAGGCACCAGTGGAAGCGGGACTTAAAGTGGCTTAGAAGGGGGCCAGGCACTGTGGCTCTCACCTGTAATCCAGCACTTTGGGAGGCTGAGGTGGGTGGATCACCTGAAGTCGGGAGTTGGAGACCAGCCTGGCCAATATGGTGAAACCCCATCTCTACTAAAAATGCAAAAATTAGCTGGGCATGGTAATCCCAGGAAGGTGGAGTTGGAGGGTGGTGGAGGAATTCTAGGACAGGGAAGGAAGCAGCATGTACAAAGGCCCAGGGTAGGGAAGAAGATGGCCCCAGCTGGGGAAGCAGGTTAGTGCTGGGGGAGACTGGCACAAAGTGAGGCTGGAGTCAGGTGACAGGCAGCTCCTTCAGGGCCTTCAAGGCCAAGGTGGGACTCTTATGGGTACCTGTTCCGTGCAGCGACTAGCATAAGGTAATATCAGTCATTGACATTTAGTGAGCATGTGTTATATGCATGGTGCTGGTTTTGTTTTTTTTTTTGAGACAGAGTCTCGCTCTTTCTCCAGGCACCAGACTGGAGTGCGGTGGCCCAATCTCGGCTCACTGCAATCTCCGTCTCCCAGCTTCCAGCGATTCTCCTGACTCAGCCCCCCGAGGAGCTGGGACTACAGGCACCCGCCACCACGCCCAGCTAATTTTTGCATTTCAGTAGAGACGGGATTTCACTATGTTGGCCAGGATGGTCTCAATCTCTTGACCTCATGATCCAACCGCCTCAGCCTCCCAAAGTGCTGGGAGTACAAGCATGAGCCACTGTGACCGGCCATGCATGGTGCTGTTCTAAGTGCTTTGCCTCCTTTTATTTCAGAGGTTGATATTATGATTATTCTCTCCCTAGTGATGAGAAAACTAAAGCTTAGTGGGGGTAAGAGGCCTTGCCAAGGTTACACAGGTAGTAAGTGGTGGACCTGGAGTATGAGCCAATGCTGCTTCCTCTAGGATCCAAGTTCCAGTAACTTCTAATCCAGGAAGTTAGAGATTTGGTTTTATTTTGAGACAGTATCTCCCTCTGTTGCCCAGGCTGAAGTGCAGTGGCACAATCACATCTCACTGTAGCCTTGACCTCCCAGGCTCAGGAAATCCTTCCACCTGAGCCTCCCAAGTAGCTGAGGCTACAGGCATACGCCACCACACCCAGCTAGTTTTTATATTTTTGGTAGAGATGAGGTCTCACTATGTTGCCCAGGCTGGTCTCGAACTCCTCGGCTCAAGCAATCCTCCCACCTTGGCCTCCCAAAGTGCTAAGATTACAGGTGTGAGCCACTGTCTCCTGCCCTATTCAGAAGATTTTAACTTTCAGCTTCTACTTTGCTACGTCTCCCGTTTTCTGCATTGAGTATGCACTGCTTTGATAATCAGACCCAGCAAGTAACTTCTAATAACCACACCTGGGCTGCAATGCATGGACCTGCTCCAGAAGGTCCCCTGCCCACCCAGTTACTCCTCTGGCCTCCATAGGAGACGGTCATGTGAACTTCAAAGACTTCTTGGCTGTGATGACAGACACCAGGCGCTTCTTCTGCTCTGTGGGTGAGCAGGGATGTGCCCAGGGTAGTCAGAACTAGAGGGGCTGGGAGGCTGGTTGTGGGGAGAGGAGAGGGCATTCAGGACTGCCCAATGGTAATGGCAGCCACTATCCCATGTCTCCAGAACAGAACGCCCTGACGAACATGGCTCCCCACAAACCCCACACGCTACTCTTTGAGATCCTGTCCCAGCTGGTAGAGATGCTGGCCTTACCAGAGGCAGCCTTGGAGGAAATCACAAAGTGAGTGGGGCTGATTGTTGGGGGTGAGGGTTTTGGACACGGAGGTGGCATCTAGCATTTTGGCACTGAGAACTTTTGGTAGTTAGGACTTTTAGTCACAAGCAAAAGAAGCTGGAGGCCAAGGCGGTGGCTCACACCTCTAATCCCAGCACTCTGGGAGGCCAAGGCGGGTGAATCACCTGCGGTCAGGAGTTCAAGATCAGACTGGCCAACATGGCGAAACCCCATTTCTACTAATACAAACAATTAGCCAGGCATGGTGGCACACACCTATAATCCCAGCTACTCGGGAGGCTGAAGCATGAGAATTGCTTGAACCCAGGAGGCAGAAGTTGCAGTGAGCTGAGATTGCACCAATGCACTCCAGCCTGGGTAACAGAGTGAGACTCTCACAAAAAGAAAAAAAGAAACTGGAATAAAACTTGCTTAAGCAAAAGAGAAATGTATGGCCTAAATCACTGGTTGGGGCCTCAGGATTAGCAGGATCCCTGAGACCAAATGATACCAGTAAGGTTTTCTCTCTCCATTTATTCATGTCTGTGCACTGGATTTGAGTTCAGCTAGGCTCTTCCTACAGGGAGAGGGATCGTAACTGGCGGCCCCATACTCACACCCTCCAAGGGCAGCAAGAGGAATTCTTTCCTGCAGTACCCATAGAGCAATCCCAGGAAAGGAATTTGACGGACCCTAGCTGGGTCAGAAGACACAAAAGCCTCCACTCTCCAGGGCAGGTGGGTGGGTAGGTAGTGGCTCATCTAAGGAAGGGAAAGCCACAGGTGAAACAACATGAACATTTCAGGGCTACAGGCAAAAGGTGAAGGCAGACTAGTCCAGTTGATCATCAAATGGCAGTTTCAGGCCCTCATGCCTCAGAGGAGGCCAAGCCTCCATTTCCAGTCTTTGAAATGCACATACTTTAGCCCGGCACAGTGGCGCATGCCTGTAGTCCCAGCTACTCGAGAGGCCGCCAATTGGGTGTCCGCACTAAGTTCAGCATCATTATGGCCCACCAGGTTGCCTAAGGAGGGATAAACTGGCCCAGGTCAGAAACGGAGCAGGTCAAAACTCCTGTGCTGATCAGTAGTGGGATCCCGCCTGTGAATAGCCACTGCACTCCAGCTTGGGCAACATAGCAAGACCCCATCTCTAAAAAAAAAAAAGAAAAAAGAAAGAATATACATCTTTTAATGCTTGTTGTTCAATAAATGCTAGCTATCTTTTTTCTTTTCTTTTCTTTTTTTTTTTTTTTTTTTTGAGACGGAGTTTCGCTCTTGTTACCCAGGCTGGAGTGCAATGGCGCAATCTCGGCTCACCACAACCTCCGTCTCCTGGGCTCAGGCAATTCTCCTGCCTCAGCCTCCTTAGTAGCTGGGATTACAGGCACGTGCCACCATGCCCAGCTAATTTTTTGTATTTTTAGTAGAGACGGGGTTTCACCATGTTGACCAGGATGGTCTCGATCTCTTGACCTCGTGATCCACCTGCCTCAGCCTCCCAAAGTGCTGGGATTACAGGCGTGAGCCACCGCGCCCGGCTCTTTTTTTTTTTAAGACAGGGTTTCACCATGTTGGTTGGGCTGGTCTTAAACTCCCGACCTCAGGTGATCTACCCGCCTTGGCCTCCAAAGTGCTTGGATTACAGGTGTGAGCCACCACACCCGGCCTAAATGCTAGCTTTCAACAGAGGTGACTGGGTCTCCCTCTGTCCCCCAGGCTGGAGTATAGTGATGCAATCATGGCTCAATGCAACCTTGACCTCCTGGGTCTCAATCAATCTTCCCACCTCAGCTTCCCTAGTAGCTGGGACTACAGGTGTGTGCCACTATGCCCGATTTCTCAAAGTGCTGGGACTACAAGCATGAGTCACCATGCCCAGCCAAAAGGCACTTTGTTGCTGGGCAAGGTGGTGTGTGCCTGTAGTCTAGCTACTCAGGAGGCTAAAGGGGAAGGATTGCTTGAGCTCAGGAGTTTGAGGCTGCAGTGGGCTATGATGATGCCACTCCACTCCAGCCTGGGCGACAGAGTGGGAGCCCATCTCTAAAAAAAGAAAAGAAAGAATGTGGAGTTCTGTCTGTGCCTCTTCCTAGTTCTGTAGCCTTGGGCAAGTTGCTTTCTCTCAAGACTCAGTTTCTTCATCTGTAAAATGAGGGCATATTTCCTCAACTCTTCAATGCAAGTGACGGAAGGATACCAGGACAGAAATGTATCTCATAGAATTGAGCCTGTAGGAACCAGGCCCTCAGCCTGCTGGGGTCTCCTCTCAATGTATCACACAAAGGCTTGTCCCTGCCAATTAGTAAGTTGGACTCATTTTTTTCCTACCACAGACAAGGCCTTTTCCACATGGGCCAGGGAACGGGAATGATTGCAGCCTGTTCCAGCAAGATCTATTTAGCTACTGCAAAGACAAGAGATCTTTTTTTCCATCCGGGCGCGGTGGCTTATGCCTATAATCCCAGCACTTTGGGAGGCCAAGGCGGGTGGATCACCTGAGGTCAGGAGTTCGAGACCAGCCTGGCCAACATGGCGAAAACCCATCTCTACTAACAATACAAAAGTTAGCTGGGCATGGTGGTGGACGCCTGTAGTCCCAGCTACTCGGGAGGCTGAGGCAGGAGAATCGCTTGAACCGGGAAGGTGGAGGTTGCAGTGAGCTGAGATTGCACCAGTGCACTCCAGCCTGGGCAACAAGAGTGAAACTCCATCTCAAAATAAAATAAAATAAAAATAACTAAAAGAGTATAACTGGAGGGACTCCATGTTTGGATCCCTTTCCACAAACACTCCCTTCATGGAAGTCATCTTTCCCGCTCCTGGATTTTCCCTCTGGAGTCCCCTTCCACACTCCCTTCGTGGAAGCCTGTCTTCCCCTCCTAAACTCCATCTCTCTCTATTCCCTTCCACTCAGTGTGGAAGCCGCTTTCCTCTCCTGGATTCCATCTTTCTGGATTCTCTCACTCAGTGTGAGAGTTAGCTGTTTCTTTCTCTCTCCTTCTCCGGTTTGTCTCTCTCTCGCTAAAAAAATTTACATATATATAAATTTAAAAAACTAAAAAAGAGGCCAGGCGTGGTGGCTCACGTCTCTAATCCAAGCACTTTGGAGGCCAAGGCGGACGGATCACCTGAGGTCGGGAGTTCAAGACCAGCCTGATCAACATGGTGAAACCCTGTCTTTAAAATAATAATAATAATAATAATAATAAAGAGTATAATTGGATTGTTTGTAACATAAAGGATAAATGCTTCAGGGGATGGATACCCCTGAAGTCTCACTCTATTGCCTAAGCTGGAGTAGCCATTGTATTTTTTTTTTTTTTTTTTTTTTTTGAGACAGAGTCTCGCTCTGTCACCCAGGCTGGAGTGCAATGGCACAATCTCAGCTCACTGCAACCTCTGTCTCCTAGGTTCAAGTGATTCTCCTGCCTCAGCTTCTCAAGTAGCTGGGATTACAGGTGCCCACCACCACACCCAGCTAATCTTTGTTATTTTTAGTAGAGACGGGGTTTCTCCCTGTTGTCCAGGCTGGTCTTGAACTCCTGGATCTCGGGTGATCCACCCGCCTCAGGCTTCCTAAGTGCTGGGATTACAGGTGTGAGTCACTGTGCTCAGCCTCATTGTATTTTTAGTAGAGTCGGAGTTTCACCATGTTGGCTAGGCTGATCTTGAACTCCTGAACTCAGGTGATACACCTGCCTCAGCCTCCCAAAGTGTTGGGATTACTGGCGTGAACCACCGTGCCGGGCCTCTTTTAGTTATTTTAAATTGTACAATTACATTATTGATGACTATAGTCACGCTGTTGTGCTAATAGTTGATCGTATTCATTCTATTTTTTTGGTACCCACTCAGCATATTTTTTGTTTTGTTTTGCTTTTTTTTTTTTTTGAGACAGAGTCTCACTCTGTCGTCCAGGCTGGAATGCAGTGGTGTGATCTCGGCCCACTGCAATCACCACCTCCCAGGTTCAAGCGATTCTCCTGCCTCAGTCTCCCAAATAGCTGGGATTACAGGTGTGCACCACCACACCCGGCTAATTTTTGTTGGTCAGGCTGGCCTCGAACTCCTAACCTTATGATCCGCCCGCCTTAGCTGCCCAAAGTGATGGGATTACAGGCTTGGGCCACTGTGCCCCGCCTCAGCATATTTGTGTGTGTGTGTGTGTGTGTGTGTGTTTGTTCGTTTGTTTTTTGAGACGGAGTTTCAATCTGTTGCCCAGGCTGGAGTGAAATGGGGCGGTCTCAGCTCACTGCAACCTCTCCCTCCCCGGTTCAAGCAATTATCCTGCCTCAACCTCCCCAATAGCTGGGATTATAGGTGCCCACCACCCGACCCAGCTGAAAAAAAAAAGGAAAATGCCAGAACTTTTTCCATATAGTTGAATCCCTCTCATGAAACTTTCATTTCAGTTATCGTACTTTTCAACTCCACAATCTTTTTGGTTTCTTGTTTGGATTTTTTAATCTCTTTTGTAAATTTCCATCTGTTCATACATTGTTTTCTGGACTTTCTCCAAGTCTTCCTTTAGTTCTCTGAGCATCTTTAAGACAGCTGTTTTGTTTTTTGTCTTTTTTTTTTTTTTTTCATTTTTGTGGAGAACGGGGTCTCGCTATATTGCCCAGGCAGGACTCAAACTCCTGGACTCACGCTATCCTCCCGCCTCTGCCTCCCAAGAGCTGGGATTACAGGCGTGAGCCAGTGCCCAGCCAAGAAAGCTGTTTTATAAAGAGTTTTTCTAGTACATCTGCTGTCAGGTCTTTTTCAGGGACTGTTTCTGTTGCTTTTTTTCCTTTAAATGGCCATGCTTGGCCAAGCGTGGTGGCTCATGCCTGTAATCCCAGCAGTTTGGTAAGCTGAAGTGGGCAGATCACCTGAGGTCGGGAGTTCAAGACTAGCCTGACCAACATGGAGAAACCCTATCTCCACTAAAAATAAAAAATTAGCTGGGCATGACGGCAGGCACCTGTAATTCCAGCTACTTGGGAGGCTGAGGCAGGAGAATTG